ACCAAAAAAAAAAAAAAAAAAGTAGTCTGTTGAATTGACAAGTCCGGAACGCTAGATTTTGGTCGTGACTCCAAACTCCATACTAAACCTTCGGGGAAGTCTCTTACTCTGTTTGAACTATTATCTTCCCAATAAAACCATTGCTATTTCAGCTTTCAAAGTTGCACTTAAAACTTTTTACATTTATGTCCATTTTAACCGATTATATTTAGGGTTGGTTTCCTGTTTAAAGTTTTACAGCTGAGGGTAGATTCACATTACAGATGAGAACATCTGCTGTGAGTTTTCTTTTGTGATTTACTAAGCCTGATTTTCTGGGTCAAATTTTGTAAATGAGAATAGGGTCCAGAACTGACTCTATTGTGGTGCGTGGTGGCACAAGCCTGAACATCCCAGCATTCCGGAGGCTGAGGAAGAAGGATCACCGCAAGTTTGAGGCCAACCTGACTCCATAGTGGGATACATACTACATGTCTCAAAAGTTTTTTTGACCGCTTGATAAATTTTTAATATATAAAAAAGGGAAAAGTACTGTGTAGTTTAAACATGGTCAGTTTATTTTCTAATACTTCTACTTTGTTTAGATTAATACTAGTTTTCAATATGACTTAGATACGATTCTTCGGGGTTTTTAGGGGGGAGCTATAACTTTTATTACGTGCAGTTCTTTTTTTGTTTTGTTTTGTTTTGTTTTGTTTTTTTTACAGTCAACTTTTCCTGTTGCTTTTATCAGTGAAATTCTTTTTGAAGCAAGCAGCTGTTACGGTTTTTCTTTGAAGATCAAATGAATAGTGTGCAGGCAGCACCAAGACATGGCGTCTAAGCAATCCGTGCTTTTCCCATCTCATAAAAAAGCGGGTCTCTGACACTCTGTAGAGACCAGAATCCTAACCAGTAGTAATCAGTGAGGATCTGCAAAAACCAAGTGCCCTTTTTTTCAACCCAGCTCGCCCAGGACTGCTTTTCTCTTCCTCTCCACTAGAGGCGACAACCTCTTTTCAAACAGAATCTGGCTGGAGCAGGCCCGCCCAGGGGAGTGGCCCACAGAAAGATCAAAGGTTAAAAATCGTCTCAGACAAAGGTCAGTACTCAATTCCAAGGCGGGTCTGAAGTTTGTCTACTAAAAAAAAAAAAAAAAAAAAAAAAAAAAAAGAAGGTGACACCTCCCTAACGTGATCTCCAATCCCCAAACCACGCAGCTTTTACAGAGACCGGGTAGGACCCAGGTGACTTAACAGGCAGCAAGAGTGGAACAGTCGGGGACCGGAAGTGGAAGAGACCGGAAGTGGACGAGCCCGGGGCAGGGGTGAGGCTAGGCCACGCCACGCCTGCGCAGTCAGCAGGAGCGGAAGCGCGCGTGCGCAGATGGGCGGTGACGGAGTGACGTTCGGAGTGTAGGCCGCCACTCTCACGGATCCGGTTCCGCCCTCTCTCTCTCTAGCTGCCGACCCTTCGGGGCTACCGCTCGCGATCCCTTTCCCAGAGTGCCCTGCGCAGTGAAGAAGCGGCTCCCGGGGACTGGGGGCATTTTGTGTTGGTTAGAGCCGGAGTAACAAGATGGCGGCGTCGGCGGAGTGACAGGGGTCTTTCCGGGCTGGAGTCGCGGCAGTGGTGGCAGCGATCTCGCCGCCCTAATTCACCGCGCCCTTATTCCAGCCCGCGACGTTGCTGTGAAAGCGAAGCAGCGGCTGCCGCTCGGAAACATAGCCTAACCTAAGTAACAGCAAGAAACGCCTCACAAACTGCGGCCTGGCCAAAAAGAAAAGAAAAAAAATCTGACTGAGCGACGGCGATCGGGTTTCCCTTGGCGGATTCTGGGCCCTGTAACGCCAGGAAAGGCCTCCAGTTTCCAGTTCCTGCGCCGTCCTTCATAGCCGTGCTCAGTGGACGAGCCCCAGGGCCTCCGTCCTCCCCTCAGGCGTCGGGGCTCGGCCCCAGGCTCCATCTTCGTCTCCCAGCATGGCGAGCAGCAGCGGCTCCAAGGCCGAATTCATTGTCGGAGGGAAATACAAACTGGTGCGGAAGATCGGGTCTGGCTCCTTCGGGGACATTTACCTGGCGATTAACATCACCAACGGCGAGGTAACCACCCGGGGAGGGCTCGGGGTAGCACGTTGCCATCCTCGCCCCCTCCCAGCCCCCGAGCTGATCCTCATAGCTTCCCACAGAGCGCACGCACCGGGGAGGCCGCAGCCGTCCTCCTCCGCTCTCCTTCCCTAAAAGGCAAAGAACCCGGCCGGGAAGTTTTCCAGCTTGTTAAAAACGTCTCTCACATGTCCTTTGGTCAGAGAGAAAAATGTTTAAATCGTTAGGGCGAGAGGGGCCAGACTCCGCGATGCCTGCGTTTTTCTTTCCATTTAGTTCTCATCCCAGTTTGGACAGTTTCCGACCACCTAGTTCCCCCAGATCTCGCCTTCCGTTTCTGGATGCATCGTTTCCCTGCGTTTAGATTTAGAGGACGTGTGGATTTCGTCACTACCCCCCGAAGAGGCCTTTGGGGCTGGTTACCTTGCTTTTATAATTACTGCGCGAGTTTTCTCTTCCCAGCCCTCCCCTCCTGGTAGTGACAACTTGGAGCTTTGCTACTTTTCCCCTCGCCTTTCCCCAGTGACATCGGATCCGTAGGGATGTTGATGCCATCCTCCCCTGTTTCCCCTGCAGGAAGTGGCAGTGAAGCTAGAGTCTCAGAAGGCCAGGCATCCCCAGTTGCTGTACGAGAGCAAACTCTATAAGATTCTTCAAGGTGGGGTCGGCATCCCCCACATACGGTAAGGACGCGCTCCCGCGTCGGTGGCCGCGGGAGGCAGGAATGCGAAACGGGGACCCGCCGGATCCGGGTCCTGGGGTCGAGTTACTGTACTTCGGTTCCCCGGGGCCGGTGGTTTCCTGTCACCCATTAGTCACCCTAATCACTGGGTGGATTGGAGTTTGCCACTTGGTTGAAAATTTCAGCGTGCTACACAGTCCCCTGTCTTTAGCTCGCGCTGCCTTCCGTCTCCAGGAGGCTTGCGTTCGCAGCTGAGCGTGCGGGTCGTTTTAGATCCCTACGCGGAGGAGTCGGCTGCGGCTCCCTTCGCGGCGGCACCTCGGATGTTCTTAGGTTTGTCCGGAGAAGTGGATTTAAAGGTGCCCGAGCGACCCGGCTCGGCCAGTTCGGGTTGCTATTGGAGCCGGCTTGGGAAATGGCTGCTCTTTTGTTGTGTTTTTGTTCCAACATGTCTTCCTCCTCCGCTTAGAAAATGGCGGAACGACGTGACTCAATCCCGTATTCCTGCCCTTTTCTCAGGCTACAAATTATGTGTCCTTGCGTCTTCTTTTAGCAGCCCTGAGTGCATTTAACCCTTTGGAAAGCCAAGAATAAAGCGTCAGCAGGCGGTAGGGTTCAAGGAAGGAGATGACAGTTACGTTTGTGATCTCTGCAGCAGATGCAACATGAAATTGTTAAAAGTCCTTCCTATTTCTCTCAAAGGTGATACTTATCTTTTTCTTGAACAGTAATGTTTGGTAACATTAATCTGTACAAAGTTTTAAAAGGTAATGGCAAAGGCAGTTTGAGCAGCACCGGCTATGTTGAAATGTACTCAGGCCCGTTTTAAAAGAAAGTGTCACTTGACCGCAGTTTAGTAAGTAATTTTAACCTGTTGTTTTATCCACAAAACTTCACATCAGGGAAATTGTGGCATTTTCGGGGGTTGAATATTGAAACAATAGCATGATAAAGGGGGATCGAATAAAAAGATAGGATTTTTTTTGCAAATGGTTAAACTGAACCAGACTTGGTGGCACATGGCTGTACTCCTAGCATTTGGAAAGCTGAGGCAGGAGAATTGCTGGGAGTTGGAGGTAGGCCTGAGTTACAGAATGAGACCCTGCCTCAAAAAAAAAAAAAAAAAAAAGGTTAAACTGTTTTGAGTAATTTTTTGATTTAAGATTAAAGAACCTCTTTCCCAGAATAGACTAAAATGTAGCTTAAACCCTAACCGTTTTTCCAACAATACTCAAAAGTAACATTTACAAAAAGATGTAGAATGGTTGAGAATTAAGTGGAGTGATACTGCATCCCCTTCTATTTCTGTTTTTCAAGTCCCGAATTACTAATAGTATTACCTGCAATAATTCTGAAGTGGAAACAAAATGATAATGTACTTTAAAAAGTTTTAAAATATTTTTAATGGAGAAATTGGATGGATGATAGAGTGTACCAGTGATTATAAGTGATTTGGAAGAAAAGTTCAAATTTATCTTATGCAGCAAAGATTAATTTGAGATGACCTAGATTTGAGCTTTTTAATGATTCCCATCCTTAATAAAAACTTAACTGTGTAGAGAAATAAGCTCCCCCATTTGCTTTTCCATCACTGTAGTTTTTCCTAGAATTTCTTAGAAATAGAATTATACATATACTATAAGGTCATTTGTAGGTGGCACCTTTCATAATGCTTTTGAGATTCATCTGTGTTGGGAGATTTTATAAATTTCACAAATTAAGTTGGATTTAATGTATTTGAAATAATTTTCAGAAAAGCATTGAACATTTGGCGTTTTCAGGGCTAAGCCCACGTTAAGAACATGCTCCTTTATCTGGTAGCTTTTATTTCAGGACAGTACTGACCAGGCAATGAGTAATATACTGAATAAGCACACAAAAAAATGAAATTAACTTGGAAGCAGACTAATAGGTGCTTATTATAAGATGGTGAGTGCAGAGAGAGTTATGGCAGTTGTAAACTGTCTGTGGGTGGGGCTGAATAGATTCACCTGGCTTTCAATTTAAGGCTTGTTTGGGAGAGGAGATAGGATTTGAGGATCAGACTCTGAGGAAGAAAGCTTGGTGAACTGGTTTGAGAAGGTATTCAAGAATAGCATGTGGCTTCTGGGAGGAGTCTCTTAAGTCTCGATGTAATTGGACAAGGGTGGTGAAAGCATATGGAAGGGACCAGGTACATAGGAATGAAGGTGGTTCGTTGGTTTTAAAATGAAGCATGAAAGGATAGTTTTCAAGAAAGATTTACTTGAAATTATCTAGATGCCAGCCTGTTCCTTGCTTATTTGTTCCTGTTTATTTCTGTATCACCTATATGTAGAATACTTTACCCAGTAAATATTTATTTATTGTTATTAAGTTGGTTGTTTTAACTAAACAAGCAGACTGCATTATCCAGTTTTAGAAGTCTTAACACTAATTTCAAAAATGTACTTTTTTTTTGCCACATTTACCTTTTATATCCCACCACCCCACTCACACACATACGTACTCTGTTTATAGGATTTTTAAGGTACTGTACTTTGGGATATCCTAAAACGGGTTCAGTATTACCTGACCTACATAGCTGACCTGTCTATTTGGGTTCTTCCTATGTAATATGAGGGTAGAAGCCTAGTATCCAGTGTAAAAGCAAATGTAAAAGTGGCATCCAGAGTCTTGGTATTTTAAGGAACTAAATCCTAGCACCTTATGAATTGGCATCTGGAAGATCACTTAAAATCACTGTTTCTGTTACAACTCCCCCCCCCCTGTATCACTGAATTGAATTAACATGTTTTTTAAAGAAACAATTGTGGTAAGCAAAGAGTTTATCTAGGCAGTTAGGTGTTAGGACTGAACTCAAGCTCTCCCAAGTTTTAGTACTCCCTAGTGATTAGACTCAGTCTCTTAATCTCTTTGAACCTGTCAGTTTCATCTATAGAATAAAAAGGTACTGCTGTAATGATTTTCTAATTTGGTTGAGATAGTGAACAGAAAACTTTGGACTGCTTGTTTTGTTTTTTTGAGACAGGGTCTTGCTATGTAGGTCGCCCTTAAACTTGTGATCATCCTGCCTCAGCCTCCCAAGTGCTAGAATTGCATTGTAGGTGCACCCTCATGTGGCCTTAACCATGGGGTTTGTTTTGTTTTGCTTTGTTTGTTTTTGGGGATCAAACTCAGGACTTTGCACATGCAAAGCAGGCACGGTGCCACTGAGTTAAAACCCCAGCCCAATCTTCACTGTTAAGAGCAGTTTAAATTTTGTCTTTTTAGCCCTGAACATATTTTCCGTAAATAAGATTATAATACTGTTATCAGAGAAGGAAAACAGCTGAAATCATTGAGATACGAATTCAGTGTTACTGAGGACAAGATGCACAAGAAATGTTACTTTTGACTCAAAGCTTAACTCACTTTATGGTGTACTAGGGATGCTTTATATTATTATTATTTTTTGGAGTAATGCTAAGCAGCATTTTTTTTTTTTTTTTTGAGCTGGACAAAACCTGGGAGGTGTTTTGTTGTTGTTGTTTGTTTGGTTTTGGTTTTTTGAGACTTGGAACTCACTGTGTAGCCCAGGCAGCTCTCGAACTCACAGTGATCCTCCTGCCTCAGCCTCCTGAGTGCTGGGATTACAGATGTGCGCCACCACACCCGGCTAAACCTGGGAGATGTATGTAGCCTGTTTTCTCCTCATCACCATACATTACAAATTAGACTGTTGAGTCCCAGAGGTATTACTAGACTTCGCTCTTTAGAGAACCAGTATTAATTTTTAAGGCAGAGTCACATCGTGCCTGCTCACATATGCCACACCTTTCCATTCGGTTCTGGGAGAGGCCTATTTTCTTCATGCTGTGGCGCATAAACTCATACAGAGAAGCTGAAAAACTCCTACAAATGTAAGTAAACTAGGCCAGGATGTAGCTCAGCAGTCAAGTGCTTGCCTGGCATGCAGGAGGCCCTAGAATCAATCCTCAGCACTGTGAAATAAACCAAACCAAAAGCCAAATGGCAGTGACTTGTTCATTTGAATTGTTTAACTAGATGTTTATAATTTAGGTTATACCGCTCCCTTCTGAATCCTTTCTGGATTGCAGGATAACTTTTGTTGGAATGAATGAATGAATGGATTGGTTGATTGGTACCAGGGATTGAACTCGGGTCCTTGCACTTGCAATGCAGGCGAAGGAATGGAAATTATTAATTGTATCTTATTTGTAATAAAGGGCTTGTGGACGTATGTAAAGTGTATGGTTTTTACTTCCTTGGTTTCAGTCATTAGAACTAAATCATTTTGTTTCAAAATATATTTAAGTGGTACCTGAAGAATTAAGGTCTTCTCATGAGTTGTCAGTATTCAGAAGGGATGTTTACTGTCCAGAAATCTAAGATTCTCGGCACCACATACACATACACAAAATCAGGCTGGGTTGTGGCTCAGTGGGATGCATGGGTTCTGTGCCCAGCAACTCTCCCAGCCCCCAGCTCTAAAAACAAAACTAGAATTTGAAGCAAATGCTACAAATTGAGTCTTTAAAATCAATTCTTGATCAGGGTGTCATGGTCCCCACCTGATTTTAAGGCCAGCCTGGGCAACTTTTAGCAAGACCCTGTCTCAATAAAAATAGAAAAATGATCTAGGGGTGTATCTCAGTGCCCCTTGAGTTCTCCAGTACTGCAAAATAAATCAGTCTGGGAATTTAAAAGACATTTTTCTGGGGTTATATAAATGCTTCACAGCTTTTAATGAATGAATACCTTATTTAAAATTATGCCCTTTTCTGTTTCATTCCTATCAGAATCTCAGGTGGCTCGTAACGATTTTAGATGACCAATATTAGAGTTTGAACTGACACTGATTAAATTAAAATTTTTTAAAAATTAAAGTAATTTACATGCAGTGAAGTTCATCGACTTTAATGTGTGATTGATCAGTTTTGACAAATCTGTACACTGGTATGAACCACGGCTCTGTTGAGATGAGAAATAATTTCTCTCTCTCTCTCTCTCTCTCTCTCT